ATTCAAATAAACATTAAACGAAAATTCTCAGTTTTAGACAATTCGATTTAAACGAAGTAAAGTAGCAGACGATAAAACGCCGAAGGTAAAAATTTACTCTTAGAAAAACGTACTCTTATTTTTTTAAAAAAGGAAAAAAGAGAGAAATTTAAAAAAATTGTTAAAAATTTGAATAATATCATCTATAATTTAAAAAATAGATTTTCATATAGTATTAATAAATATTTATTACGCCTTATTGTGGGAAAAAATTTCATATAATTAATTCTCCGTAAAATTTTATTTGAAATTTAAGGTTAAAAATAGCTGTGGCAATTTAGTGTAACAAAAATCCATAGACCACATTTGGCGTTATTATCGCTCAAAAAAAAGGTGCCAAATTTCAAAACGCGAAAATATGTAAATTCGTGTATATCTTTGAAAATTTTGAATAAAAAAGTCTAATTTTTTGCAGGTATGCTTTGAAATACACCTACTTTAAGATGATGCTAAAATTTTATAGGTTATAATTCAAAATTGTTTCGAAAAAATTATAAAAATTATTTAAAAATAGAAATTTAAAAAATAAAACACAAAAAATGGGTAAATTTTATTTGTAATGAACCTAAATTTCGAAATGTGAGAGAAAAAATAAAAAAAGTTTAGTAAAAAAAGAGATATTAATAAATATTTGCCAAATTCAATTAACATTGAGGAGCTAAAATTTTGAGAGCTAATATTTTAAAAACTACTCGTAGGATTTTTACAAAACTTGGTATTCTGGCATAATTTGAGCCGTAGAATCGAAATATGGAAAAAAATTGGTATGTTATTTCAGAAAAAGTCCGATTTTGTGTCAAAATACCTATGTTAGAATAGTGATATATATAAATCTAATATATATCCTAAGTCGCGCTTTCGAGACATGAAAAACGCAGTTTGAATTTTGTCAATCGGCCCAGTAGAACGGGAGATATAGCACTGTCCCTTTTTTTTTTGAGCTGTACGTGCGTGCGTAAGTACGTATCTCGCATAACTAAAAAACGAGTAGCCTCAGAACGTTGAAATTTTGTATATAGGACTGCTATAACATGTAGATGTGCACCTCGTATTTTGGTTGCAATCGGCCGCACCAAACGTATATAAATATATTTATATATAATCCACTCTGTTACCCGGCTCAGTGATCTCAGTTTCTTTACTCTTATATGTTTGTAAATTGTACATTTCTTGCTTTAAAAATGATTGTATTATGTTGTTTTTATCTTCCGGTTAAGGTTTCTATGCCTTTAGTAAATCTGTGTGCAATATTTTTAGAATTATCAACAATTTTAAAGTTGTCACTAAGCCTTTTTTTAATGGCGGCCATTGATGTTTACATTTGAAACAGAGACTAGTGGATTTGTTGCCAGTCTAGAGAAACTTAGCTTCGCAACAACAAAGATAACGCGTTCATTTATTATTGCCAATTAAATCATGCTTAATTCTTTCTGGAATTTTTTCGAGGAAATAAGTGTTTAAGATTTACTTCTTAATTTTTAATATAGATATTTTGAGTTTTTATGTATTTTTGCCTTCTCGCGAAGTGAGAACTGAACTAATTAAATGAGAAATACTCAATCGTCTGTGAAAAACTGTTTCTTTTTGTTTCTTTTTTTTTTGTTTGCTTAATTTCTTTTATACATCATTCTAGCTTTATTATAGTATTTGAATAGAACATGTGGCAACGATTAGATAATTCTATTCTTTAAATGATATAAATTTTGTGCATTATGAGTTATAATATGAACAAAATATAATACTGAAGGGGAGTCATCACTTTTGCGCAACACAAAAAGTGAGAATTTTAGCTGATTTTCGAGTTTTAATAAGTCAAATTGTTTTTGTCATACATATATGAAATTTTCAGTGTGTCGTCTAATACATAGATGATTATCTTTCTTGATTTATTTTACTTAATAGTGTATAAGAATTTGTTTTATAAAGAAAAAACTAACTGTATTTTCTGAAAATTTAAAATTTGTACTGAAGCACTGCGCGCAAACTGACAGTAATACAAATTTATTTACAGTACAGTCAAAAGTCGTTAATCCGGACTCGTCGGGACTTCGGCGATTCCGGATTATCGATTTTTCCGGATTATAGATCATCAGTTTAAATCTCGTTAGATGGCATGCAGAAATTACAAAATTAAAAATATGAAACCGTAATTTATGAAATAAAGAACAATTATGATCTAAAGGGTATCAAAATTTACAAAAAAAAAAAAAAGAAAAGCTTAATATTTATTTGTTTACTTTATTAAACATTTCCTTCAATGTAAGTTGCTTCGTTTCATGTGTGATAATACTTTCTCTTTAATTCTATTAAACAGACATAATTTCTTGTTTAGTTACAAAGTTCCGCTGTTCAAGTCCTATAATTGCTGTGTTGAGAATACCGACTAATTTGTCAATCGAAATGTTTTCGTTTTCAATAACCTCTGGGTCACTTTCTTCACTATCGGAAGCGAATTATAATGACGAGGAACTTGATTTAAATCATATCAAAGACGGAGTATATCGAGATGAAATACTACACTTAGTACGGAATTATAAACCAAATAAATAAAATAAAACATCTGCCCTGAAGATAAGGATAGTGCTGACAGATCAACTTCCAATCCGCGGCGTGAATTTGATAAACAGATTTCGGATTTCAAAACATACTTTCGCTTTGTAGATACAAATTACATATTAGTAAATATATATCGGAAATTCTATTTGACATAATCTTTCTAATCTATCATAATCTAATAATGACGTTTCTGCCCCCCCTCTGCCGCAGAGCAGCGTGAAATCGATAAACAGATTTCGGATTTCAAAACATACTTTCGCTTTGTAGTAAATATATATCGGAAATTCTATTTGATATAATCGAAAGTTCAAGCTTACTTTTATAAAATTGCTCTAACAGTGCAAAAAATAATAAGCCGGATCCAATTCGAAGATTAAGGAACAACGCAATCAGCAACATTAACTGAATTAGATAACTTTAGCTTAGCGTATAACTCCGTTACACATTAAACGCGCATGCGCACAAACATATTCGCAGCCGTAAGGGTCTTACGCGCTCTCGTAAACGCCTGTGCGCATGCGTGAACGCGACGCATGCGCAGAAAATTTGTAGCTTTGAGGTCCGGATTATAGATCATTCCGGATTATGGGTGTCCGAATTAACGACTTTTGACTGTAATAATTTTTAAGTGAATCTAGCGCCAGAGTGTCGCTATGGTAAACAAATACTAGAGTGAATTTTAAAGAATGCATTTATTCTATTGTGATTTATGCGCTGTTGGCGAAGTAGATTTAATTCAATCCAATAAGTTTAAATGAAATGCAAGAAAAATGCGTATAATTTAATATTCCGTACAAGGAAGTCATGTGGTGTACACATCACATTTTTTTAAAATTTATGATGCGCACCGTACTTGTTGATTTTTATTTATCTGTTAATCATGAGTATTTTAAATCAACAATTTGAAAATTATTATTGAAGTGAAAGTTTTTATTTTTGAACACAATGTTGAAAAAGGTGCGTGTTTCACATCTATAAGCAAAAAATAGAAATTATTATGATATTATTTGTGTATCAGAAGGTAGCGTTTAGTCGTGTTTAACGTTATTTCGGTTAACGCAAAGGTACTGTGCCCCTTTAAACAGAAAACAACTTTTTAAACAGAGCACATTCTGAATCTGTGATATAATTTATTAACTTTTCCAAATTAATAAATTCTTTTAAATCACTTACAGTGACTTGAAATTTCGGCATATTATAATTCATAAGAAAAATTTTCCCTTTTTGAAAGAATAATGATAAAAAGGTATTGATCAGGCAATTTTCTAAAATCTTTATTGAATTACGAATTAACACACCCAAGCGTTTGAAACTTCACCAATTAAGTGGGTTTAATTGAAACAGCCTGATGTCACCTTTCTGTATCTAATTACTTTTTCTTTTTATTTATTTGCTACTTCAATATGTTTACCCCACACTGTATTTGGAAATAGTCTGTTTCCCAACAGAAGAATAGGTATAATGCTAATTTATATAATAACAATAAAAGAACAAGCTTTTGTGTTTGTATAGCTATATTGTAAAATTCAGACACAGAATTCTCTATAGCTAAGAAATTTGGCTCACAATAAAATATGTAACTAATTCATATGAAATAGTGTTATCACACATAGTCCAAAGAGGGTGTTAGCCCAGAAGTGCTTTTAGTCTCAAAATGGCATTTTGCATTGAATCATTTAAATACGATGCTTCCAGATTGCTACCACCAAATATTATCATCCTGAATTATGTTTAAAGAAACTAAATAATAAAGAATCTGCATGAATGTATGCATGTTTCTTGCACTGTGGCGCCCACCAGCGGCTGAGCAGTAAAGTCGCTGAACACTGGTAGTTCGGTCCGAAGTTCGAATCCTGCGAGCGGGCTGGCTGCAAGCGTGTTTTTGTGGTTTTCCCAATGTGTAACGTGTATACGAGGCAGTTTCCCTTAGAAAGTCCTCCATGAAGGTATTCCTTCTCTTAGGCAGATAGCCTACGAGGCTTTGCCATAATCCTACACACACTCTTGCACTGTGAAAAAACAACAGTACCTAGAATCATCAAATTCTGAATAACATAGTCATCCACCTAAACATGAGCACCTGGAAGACAGAATTTGTTTTATTGCCTATTTCATATTTTGTAAAATGAAATTTTGATTAAAAAATTCAGCAATTCTAAAGCGAGCAGTGCCACATTGTAAGGAATAAAATATTTTTATCTCCAGTGCACGAGACTGTCTATTGGAAATTCTAAAGATATGCTTATTTGTAAATATTTTTAGTCCAAATGCTCTCAAAACAAGCATGTGTCTGTAAAGGGGGGGGACCCCGCCCATTAAGCAAAATATAAAATTGAAAGCATTCAGACTTTCTTTTCGTTTTAATTTTAAATCTGATTAAAAGTAAACAAAAAGGTAATTAGATATATAAAATAAATACTTTATTACATACATATTTACAAAATTATTTGATATACATATACATCTCCATTTTTAAAAATTATACCAATTGAAAATATTAAGCATATGGTACCCAGTTGCTTCCATCCTCAGGAGTCAAGTTCCCTGTAACAAGAAGAACCACATCGACAATCCACCAAATACCAACTCCTCCCAGAGTAAGGAGTTTTCCTACAGCTGTTCCTGTATGCCCTAAACAAAATCTATCCATTCCAAGAAAGCCCAAAAGAACTGAGTATAACAAGGTCGTAAGGAAATAGTGCCCGGAATATCTATTAAAAAGTAAAAATGAACATAAAATAGATTAATGACTGCAAGTTATTCAACAGATTTCCTAATGAAAAAAATCTTATGACGAGGTGAATTTAATTAGTAAGTATTTAGGGCATTTTTTTAGGTACTATATTTAGTCTCTGAAAATCGTCGTTTAGTTTGAGATATAGTAAATTGACTCTATGTATTAGAATTACACTTTTTTTCATATGTAAATCATTTACTTGGAAATATTTTCAAGCTATATAATTTTTAAAATAAAAAAAATCTACAAACTGTGTGGCTTATAAAAGGAGAAAATAGTTTAAAATATATTTTGAACATATAGAATGTATATAGATAGTAACTTATTTTATCATTTACTGTTATAAAAAACAAGAAAATATACTATTATGAAAATTATTAATTTCATGGCTACTACTGCAGTAAACTCAGTTGTGCAAATCTTTGAAAAGTTTTCTTTTTGACATTTATAGTACACAAAAGATGTGGTATGTATTCATGCTATTTGTAGATTAAGAGTTATTAAAAATTAAGTTTTAAGGACTATAAAGTTATACACGAATTTTGAATGGCATAGAATACTGACACTGCTAACCTCACATAAGTTGCTGTATTTACAATTCACATAACCAGCTGTATTTACAATGTTCCAAAAAGTGGTCTTAAGGAAATTTGAATTTATCATATTCAAAACCTTTTTTTAATTTACTGTTATAATTTTAAGGCTAATAAAATTAATTGCCACTTAAAAATTCTGAATAGCTGTTAGATGCAACATTCTTCTTCAAAGGGTTGGATTAAAGTTTTCTCTTTTTATTTTTATAGTCCCCTCTTTATGCAAATCTTCATCTTTAGGAAACATCTGAAACAAAATCTTATTTTCTTTACATTTATTATCAAGTCTCTGAGCAGCATAACCAACTTTATCCAGTCACTAGATTTTTTATCACTTGTCACATATTAGCTTATAATTTAAGATATTTTGTTTTCTTACTTTCTTTAATAATGTAAATGTCATCTTAATGAATGCAATTTTATGAAAACACAGACTAAAATAAGTAATTATACAAATTTAGCTAATAAACGATGTTTAAACATGGGTATTCATGATAGATCCCAATCCTGTGCTCCTCAGAGAGTTAATACTGTTATTTGAACAAATGTATACACAGCAAGCAATGGGCATTGCCAGCACTCAGAAACTGAAAAAGTATACAGAAATCTACAAATCAAAATCAGAATAATAAAAGTATAATAGAATAATGATAAAAGAATTAACTGTCAAATTAAGGAAAGAATTTGTACATAAATGTTAACAGAAATGATAAAACAGCAAACAATAAGTTATATGAAAATGGTAGTAATAAAATATAGCAAATCATCAAAATTATTATAAACAAATGAAAGAAGAGTTAATTAATAGATGAAATAATGATAAAAGCTGAAATAAAAATTTAATAAATGATTAAAAAAGAACTCGATTTTGAATTTTCAACAAATCTCGCCCAGCAGAAGAAGCAACTAGCTTGTTTGCTTACATTAGCTACATATACATAACGTGACCTCTGAATTTATCAGACTGTATCTCATTAATCAAAAATAAATAAATGTGTTATATTACAGGTTCGCAATTCTATACTATATTTAGCTTAATTCTTGATGAAATCACATATCAAAGCACAATCTAAAATGATAATGATAGTCATAATTTTTCATTGTAGACCTTTGTACAAGTTTCTCTCACCTTCTGTCTCTGTTCTCCTCAACTTAAGCACTTCAAATGGGCAATTAAAGCTTCAAAATTCTGCCAGATGGAAGCAACTCTAGCATCTACAATTCTCACATTTTTAAAAATTTCACTGCTGAGGTTTTTCAAATGGAATTTTAATGTTCTTGTATTTTTAGAAGACTGATGATATAGTATGCATAATTTATCAATATGCATTAAATGTGGTTTATTTGTGAAGTCTATTACATTTAATGTAAAAAACTATAATCTGTGATTAGCACAATGCCAAAGCAAAATTTTACAAAACTGAAATTTAAGTAGTGTCAATATGTTTTTTGTTTCAGCCAAGCATCACTGTGACCACATCAGTTGCAAATGTCAAGAGATTTTTTGAAAGAAAAATCATCATGAAAAAACAATTTCTCTTAAACAGATTATCAGAATTTTAATATATCTTCAGCACTGATATCTCTTAAATTTGAATAATTTAAAAAAAAAAAAAAAGATTGGCAGGCTCATTTATGCTTGATGATGCAGCTCTTATATAAAAAAATAAGTAAGGAAACTGGCTTATTGTTATGCTTTAACCTAGCAAGGAAGATTTTATTACTCAATTTTATTATATTCTTAAATGACACTGCTTTTTACTTCCACAGCACAAACATTAGAACATTTGTCAGGCAAACCTTCAATAAATCATGGACCTTTCATAAATTACAGAAGCAGTGTAAGTGTGCAGTTGAGAGTTTATGGAGGTGGATGAAGGACTCTAACATTTCCATTTGGTATAGCTATGATTTGATGAGTGCCCAAAGATCACACAAGTGATTGTTACTTTTACATAGTGAAAATGTCAGGATATAACAAGAGAAACAAATGTAAAATAGAGTATCCTCATTTAGCATCAGCTATATGACCACTGGCAGTTTTCAAAAAATTACCTGCTTTGGAAATACAGTATTACATTTCTGGTGAATATGATATTGAAATAATAAATATTTTGAAACTGAAAATGATTCCATTCGTAAAGGTTTGACCAGCATGAGCTTAGTGATTTGGCATGAGATTTAAGACTGTCCAAAAAAGTTTTAGAACTGTTAGCTTCAAGATTGTACAAGAAAACTTGCTTGAAAAAGGAGCTAAGGTATCCTACTTTTGACCAAGAGAAAGTGCATTTCTGTAAGACTTTTAAAGTGATGATGGATTTGTGTATTGCCAAACCATACAAGGTTTAATGGAAGCATTGCAAATTCCATTCAGTCTATAATGTAATTCAATGGAGACTGTTCATCGATAGCTCAGAGCAGAGCCTGAAGTATGATCGCCTCCTCAATGGAAATTTATTTGGTGCAATCTCAATAGGCCGTTCAAGTTTTTTTTATGAAGAATATGAAAACATAAAAGGAGATATTCATTTGTTATAATATCACATGCAATGGATCATCTGTGTTGACCCAAATTAATTTCCATTAAATGATTTGCTTCCTCCTTGGCCAGAAAAATACAGTCAAAAGTCGTTAATTCGGACACCCATAATCCGGACCTCAAAGCTACAAACTTTCTGCGCATATCCTTTATGGCTGCGAATGGGCGTGTGCGCGTGTGCAAAATATGTTTACGAATGCGCGTTTAATGTATAATGGACGGTATAAGCTAAGCTAAAATTATCTAATTCAGTTAATGTTGCAGATTGCGCTGTTCCTTAATCTTCTAATTGGATCCGGCTTATTATTTTTTGCAGACTGTTAGAGCAATTTTATAAAAGTAAGCTTGAACTTTCGATTATGTCAAAAAGAATTTCCAATTCTGGAGCTATCAAAGGATCTAGAAAGCAAAAGCATGTTCCGATGTCCATCAAACAAAAAGTGGAATTGTTGCAAAAAATGGATAAAGGCATATCCTTTGTTTATCTAAACTTTGCTTATCTTTAACGCCGCGGCTTGCAATGAATTGGAAGTTGATCTGTCAGCACTATCCTTATCTTCAGGGCAGATGTTTTTATTTTATTTGGCTTATAATTCCTTACTAAATGTATTATTTCATCTCGATGTACTCCGTCTTTGATATGATTTAAATCAAATTCCTCGTCATTTATAATTCACTTCCGATAGCGAAGAAAGTGACAGAGGTTATTGAAAACGAAAAAATTTCGATTGACAAATTAGTCGGTATTCTCGACACAGCAATTATAGGACTTGAACAGTGGAACTTTGTAACTGAACAAGAAATTATGTCTGTTTATAGAATTAAAGAGAATGTATTATCACATAAAAACGAAACAACTTACATTGAAAGAAATGTTTAATAATAAAGTAAACAAATAAATATTAAGCTTTTTTTTTTCTCTTTTTTTGTAAATTTTGATACCCTTTAAATCATAATTGTTCTTTATTTCATAAATTATGGTTTCATATTTTTAATTTTATAATTTCTGCATGCCATCTTACCAGATTTAAACTGATGATCTATAATCCGGAAAAATCGATAATCCGGAATCGCCGAAGTCCCGATGAGTCTGGATTAATGACTTTTGACTGTATAAGTATGGCTGTTTTTTGCATATGTGGGACAGCAGATCTCATTAGAAGTATTGGTTGCAGTCGCACTGGCCACCAAGATCTGGCATGAAACCTAATGATCCAAACATCTGCCATTTGTCGACAGAAAGAACATTATATTTGTACTTCTGCATATAAAAATGTGTCTTATAAAGCAATTTGTGAAAGCTCTGCCAATTGCAGGAGACTCTTTTTAAGTATCTTATTTCAGCCATTCATATCATCTGGAAAGATAAAGGCAAGTGTATTTGATGGTCCAAAGATTCAGAAGCTCCTTAAAGATGAATATTTCATCAGAACAATGACAGAACTTTAACAGAATGCTTGGTTGGATTTCAAAAACACTATCAAAAAACTTATTTGAATTACATTGAAATTGTCCAGCAACTTTTGGAAAGCTTCAAAATGCTTTGCTGCAATATGAGCATCAAATTGCATTTTTTACATAGCCATCTTGATATCTAATTTTCCAAAAAGTCTTGATATAGTCAGTGATGAGCAATGTGAGTGATTCCATGAAAATTTGAAGGCCATGGGGGCACGGAACAAAAGCAGATCAGATATACCTATGAAGCCTGACTGTTGCTGGAGCATGAAGTGAAAATGTATACAGATTACACACTCCCGAAAAAGGCATAAGTACCAATTTTTACCTTAATATGTATGTTTACCATTTGGTAAAAAACTTTACTATTTGTATAAACAAAATTTAACTTGCAGTAACTATATATAGAATAGTATAATGTACCTTTGTATCAATAACACTATTCTTCGTTAATAGTATATTTGGCAAGTTTTCCCTTTATTTTCCTTTATATGCCTATATTGTACGACTTTTGAGAAAAAGTGCTACTGTAGCTTAAAATATAGATACACCAAACAAAAACTGAGGTTATGTTTGGATTCAGAGGTCATAAGTTAATCAAAAATAAGTGACAGATCTAAGAGAACAAAACTCCTGTTCCCCAGTGTCATTAAAGTAAAGTAGTAAGATTTTGTCTTACAAATTAGATTATACAGTACAAAGTCCATAATTAGGACATCTATTATCTGGAATGATCCATAATCCAGACTTCAAAGCCACAAACTTTTTTTCGTATGCTTTACGAATTCACGTTTAATGTATAACGGACAGTATAAGCTAGGCTAAAATTATCTTTACTGATTCTAAGGCATTTCAGTTAATGTTGCAGATTGCACTGTTCCTTAATCTTCTAATTGGATCTGGCTTATTATTTTTTGCAGACTGTTAGAGCAATTTTATAAAAATTAAGCTTGAATTTCGATTATGTCAAAAAGAGTTTTCAATTCTAGAGCTGTCAAAGGATCTATGAAGCAAAAGCATGTTTCGATGTCCATCAAACAAAAAGCGGAATTGCTGCAAAAAATGGATAAAAGCATATAGTCTCAAAATTATGCGAGGAGTATGACACTGGAAAGTCAACTGTATATGACATAAGCAAAAAGAAAAAAGAACTTTTTGAATTTTTTTGTAGATTCTGACACCCCACATGCAATGAATAACAGAAAAATTATTGGTTATGCTAAAAGTGGCAATTATGACAAAGTGATAATTGAATGGGTCAGACAGTGTTGCAGTGAGGGCATGCCATTGATGGGTCTAATGCTAATGGCTCAAGCCAAAATATTTCATGAAGAAATGAACTTAAACACTGAGTGCACATATTCGACAGGTTGGTTAACCAAATTTAAAAATCACCATGGTATAAGACAATTAAAAATTTCAGGTGAAAAAGCTTTAGCTGATATTGAAGCTGCTGAACAATTTGCAGATGAATTCATTGAACTCATTACTAGTAAACAATTATCTCCAGAACAAATTTACAACACTGATGAAACTGGTCTTTTCTGGCAATATGTACCATGAAATACATTGGCAACCTCTTCAGAAAAGGCTCCAACTGGTGTCAAAGATTCCAAAGTGAGACTAAAAATTTCAGCGTGCACAAATGCTGCAGGAATGCACAAGTGCAAACTTTTTGTAATCGGAAAACATGCATGACCTCGAGCATTTAAAGGAGTAATGATTTTTCCCGTTATATATCACACAAATAAAAGAGCATGGATGACACAAGCGGTGATGAATGATCGGTTTGAAAATCATTTTATACCCGAGGTTCGGTGACATTTGAATTCTGTTGGTTTACCTGATGACTCAAAAATAGTCCTGATTGTTGACAACCGTTCAGTGCATACTTCACTTAAAGTTTTAGTGAAAGATAATGAACTCATTTTATTCTTCCCTCCAAACTATACATATATCATTCAGCCTATGGATATGGGAATAGTGCACGCACTGAAACGCAAATATAAAGTAGCATTTTTAAAATCTATGTTAAATTTCTTGAACAATGGCAAGACTATTCAAGACTTTTTGAAATTTTTTAGCATAAAATCTGCTGTGTGGAGGATCACAAAATCGTGGGAGGATGCGTCTCCAGATATGTTAAAAATGCTTGGCATAATTTATGGCCAGCTACCATATTTCATGGTGAGGACGACGATGATAGCCACGAATTTGAAGGCTTTTGGACATCGCAAACTAAAGGTGAAATTTTCCACTTTTTGGATTTTGTAAAGAAATGTAGAGAAGTGGTAATAAATGAAGATAATATAACAGTTTTTCATTGTGACGACAATGCCCCAATCATCAATCAATTAACGGACGGCAAAATCTGTATTATGGTTCTAGATCCAGAAAATACTGCTTCCGATAGTGAGAAAGTGACAGAGAGGTTATCGAAAACGAAAAAATTTCGATTGACATGTTAGTCAGTATTCTCGACACAGCAGTTACAGGACTTGAACAGTGGAACTTTGTAACTGAACAAGAAATTATGTCTGTTTATACAATTAAAGAGAAAGTATTAGCACATAAAACGAAGCAACTTAACTTACATTGAAAGAAATGTTTAATAAAGTAAACAAATAAATATTAAGCTTTTTTTTTTTTTTTTTTTTTTTTTTGTAAAATTTGATACCCTTTAGATCATAATTGCTCTTTCTTTCATACATTACGGTTTCATACTTTTAATTTCATAATTTCTGCATGCCATCTTACCAGATTTAAATTGATGATCTATAATCCAGAAAAACTCCTAATCCGGAATCTCCGAAGTCCCGACGAGTCCGGATTACAGACTTTGTACTGTATAAGATTTCAGGAAAAAATTTATAGCTATGTAAAATAAATGCACTACATATCTGAGAAATCAAGAAAGCATCATACTTCAGACAAGGAAATCCATCCCTAAGAAAGATCTTCGGCCCATAGCATTCAATATCAGAGAGGACAGTACAATTCACAGATGTAAATTGAACATCCTCGTATTTTTGGCCACCATACTGGGGAGAAAAATAAAAATTATCACAATAAGTGAAAGAGAAATAAATAAATATAATATGCACGAGAAATTCTGACTGTTAATCTGCCCATAGTTACTAAATTGTAAATTATTTTGAGGCTATTTTCAGTAAAAAATCAACAGAATGCAATGCTATGAAAACACGTAAAAATAATCTTTGTTAAGCACTTTTACATGGCCAAAAAATAAAATTTATAATTCAATACACATAGATGCATAGGAATTTTGATAATCAAATTTTCAGTAACTGGAAGTTACACCTTCCTGGGTAATTATGATTCAACATCCTTTTTAAAACAAACATAAATACTAATACAATAGTTTTGGTATTTACTTATTAATGCAGCCACCTTGGTGCAATTTGGTGATTTTTTACAGATCGAAAATTATGATGATACATCATTCAATGCAATTACAAAATTTTATTTATTATATACATAATTATTATTACATTTACATTCTATTCAAGTACTTATCTTGAAAATCAAATAATAAATCTACTTAAAAGCTGGTTTTTATTTCTTTTGTTCTGGTGAAAGATGTGGTGACTGCTTTTACCACAGATTGAAATCAGTTTTTACCTATAGAGATTTCACAAGATACTGTACTTCTGCAGAAATTTTACCACAGTTTCTTTTATTGCTAGCACTAACAACAGATAAAAAGCAATTTTTCCCTGCAGAGATTTTGTGACAAGATACTGTACTCCTGTAAAAATCTTATTGCAGTTTCTTTTGTTGCTGGTAAATTCCACAAGTGTATATTTTAAAAATGAGTTTAAGGCAAAAAGTATCACAATTTTTTTATAAAAAACATTAGAACTTTTAATACAAGAAGAACGCTTATGAAAATGGAGATGTTGCTCAATTGAAGGATTCTTATGAGCACAGATATTTGACAAATAGTTTTGAACATGGTTGCCAGATTTGGGCACATTCTAAAAATTTGGCAACTTCTACTAAGGTAGTTGCGATAATACATAAGTACCACAATATTGATAACTATAATGGCACAAATATAATTCACATTTTATGGTAAAGTGGTAAAGCACTTCTTAATTGTTCACTGAGAGTGGACCAACATTTTCTACACATGCTAGTGTGTGTGTATATTTACAGTTTTAGCTAACAGGGTGCATTTGGCATCATATGTTGTCACAGAAGCTAAACAGAGATAGGAATGGCAGCCCTATTAATACATACAGCTTCAAGAATGGCTATTTTACTAAATTCAAAAAAAATAAATAAATAAAAAAAGAATTAAAAAATTAAAAAACATGTAATTATGCCAGTCAATAACTGCACTGGCAGAGTTCCACTAACATAAGCTCTTAATATCAAAAGTAAATAAATTAAACATCAATCACAAAATAAATGAGTCCACATTCAAATCAGAATCTGACCAGTAAGCATTTCTTCTTGTAACATGATCTTTTCATTGCTCCAGTAGCAACAAAATACTGTTTCACAATGCAGTTTTTGGAACAAAGTCTTCCAATAAAGATGAAATCTTCATCTTGGATGAAGTTAATTACGATTTTTCATCATTTGGCAATAGACAAATAACATAAATCATATTAATTAAAAAAAATCTCTTCAACAGAAAAGGACTTGAAAATGCTAAAGGAAAAACTACACGATCAACAATCAATCTTTCTTCTTATTCATAATAATGCCACTAGCTACTCGTGAGATGAAAAAGAAAACATAAAATTACTTTTATTGTAAAAAGTTATATAGTCTGAGATCCGGATGTCCAATATCCGGATCTCAAAGACACCAATAACCCCCTTTTTTTTAAACTACTTATTTTGATTTTTCCCCCAATAATAAAACATGTGGAGAGTCCCAATTCTTAATTTCACTTTGGCACTAAATAAAAATACCTCGTTATTGAAGAACAATCATTTTAGCATAAATTTATGTGATCAATAATTTGGCTCCGTAGCTGCATATCTGCTTGGCATACATCTCAAACTGAAACATTCTACATAAAAACATCGCTGACTTTACATCTACTAATATTTTATATCCGTGACATCAACCTGGAGAATCATTATTTATTATATTTTGCTTTCATTACCATATGCTTATCAATACATTTAAGTAATGATGCATGCACCAATGACTAAACAATTTTTTTTTAATTTTAGTAATTGAATAACAAAGAGTATGTTGACATTATGCTTGGCGATGATTACACATTTAAGTTAAATTTGTTAAGAAATGTTGACGAGGAAAAATTTAACAAAAATTTCTTTCAATATGTTAAAAATAGATTTTGTTAATGATACTCATGGGCCAAAAGATTATATTTAGCAATAGCTGAATCAAGAATAACTGATTTATTATACACGTAAACCCAGAACCAGCACCAGACCTCGTATGGCCGCACCAGGTGGCAGAATTTAGGAAAAATAAAATTTTTGGAATTTAAAGAAGCATCGAGCAACAAAATTAAGGGATGACAAAATGTTTAGAATCCAGTAGACTCAAAATTTTAGAACTTAGAGAAGAGCTTGGTATCGGAATTTAGGACCTGCAGAGACTACATCAAGGGTTAAAATATCTACTCAGACTTAATTGTCTCAGTGCACAATAGAAACAAGACAAAATTTAGCAGAACAACTTCTCTTTCCTCGCCAAGTTCAGGATACATAGCCAATAATGTATAGTGGAAAATTATTACTGATTTACTGATTCCAAGGAATTTCAGTTAATTTAGCACACTGTGCTATTCCTTAACTTTCCGATTTGATCCAGCTTATTATTTTCTTACAAACGGTTATTAACACAGTAATTTTATGAAAATTAAAGTTTGAAGTTTCGATTATGTCAAAACAAGTTTCTAATTCTGGAGCTGCAACAGGATCTACAAAGTGAAAGCATGTTTTGATATCCATTAAATAAAAAGTGGAATTACAGAAAAAAATGGATAAAGGTTACACCCGTCTCAAAATTATGCAAAGAGTATGACATTAAAAAGCTAACTGTATACGACATAAGAAAACAGAAAAAAAACTTTTTGAATTTTTTTGTAGATTCCGACACCCCACCCCACACGCAATGAATAACAGAAAAATTATTGGTTATGCTAAAAGTGGCAATTATGACAAAGTGATAATTGAATGGGTCAGACAGTGTTGCATAGAGGGCATACCATTGACGGGTCCAATGCTAATGGCTCAAAGCAAAATATTTCATTAAGAAATGAGCTTAAAAACTGAGTGCACATACTCAAATTTAAAATACACAAATTTAAAAATCGCCATAGTATAAAAAATTTCAGGCAAGAAAGCTGCTGAACTATCTGCAGATAAATTCATTGAACTCATTAACAGTGAAAAGTTATCTACAGTACTGATAAAACTGGTCTTTTCTGGAAATATGTACCACGAAATACCTTGGCAACCTCTACAGAAAGGGCTTCAAATGGCATCAGTTATTCCAAAGTGAGACTAATAATTTTAGCATATGCAAATGCCGCAGGAACACACAAGTGTAAACATTTTGTAACTGGAAAAAAATACATGATCTCGAGCATTTAAAGGAGTAAAGATTTTCCTACTATATATCATGCAAATAAAAGAGCATGGATGACACAAGCGTTAATGCATGATTGGTTTGAAAATCATTTCATACCCGAGGCTCAGACAAATTTGAATTTGGTTAGTTTACCAGATGACGCAAAAATTTCCTGATTGTAGCTAAATGTTCGGCTCATATTTCACTTAAAGTTTAATGAAAGATAATGTACTCGTCTCATTCCTTCCTCCAAAATGTACATCCATAATTCAGCCTATGGATATTTGAATAATGTGCACGTTGAAATGCAGATATAAAGTAGCATTTTTAAAATCCACGTTAAATTTCTTTGCTAATGGCAAGACTATTCAAGAATTTTTCAAATATTTTAACATAAAATCTGCTGCATGGAGCATTGCAAGATCGCAATACGATGTGTCTTCAGATACTTTAAAAAATGCTTGGCATAATTTATGGCCAGCTACAGTATTTCACAGTGGGGATGATGAAGGTAATAGCTGCAAATTTGAAGGTTTTGGGATAATGCAAATAATGATGAAATTTTTCAATTAGTGGATTTCTATGGAACAGAAGTTTTTCATTGCAATGACAATACTCCTATCATGAATCAATTAACGAACGGTGAAATTTGTAGTATGGTTCTAAAGCTAGAAAATACTGCTACCGATAGAAGAAAATGAGAAAGAGGTTATTAAAAATTAAAAAATTTCAATTGATAAGTTAGTTGGAATTCTCAACACAGCAAATACAGGACTTGAACAATGGGAACTTTGTAACAAAACAAGAAATTATGTCTGTCTATAGAATTAAAGAGGAAGTATTAAAAAAAAAAAAAAAAAAAACCCTTAAACACAAGTTACATTGAAAGAAATTATTACTAAAGTAAACAAATAAATATTAAGCTTTTATATATATATTACATTTCAACTATATCTTTAATTTAAAAGACAATTAATAAATCTGGTTACATATGGATTCTTGTTTTTGCTGTGGTGGAAAATATGGTAGCAATCACTTTCAGAATAGGTTCAAAGCAACTGTTTCCTTTAGCAGTCTGGTCTTGATGTCATTTAAATACCACTAAATACAATTCCAGGTGGTGACAGGCTGTGTCCCGATGTTTCTTGTTATGTCATCTTGTGGAGCTCCCCATTCTTTCTACATTTTGTGTAGGTACGTCAGTACTGGGATCAACAATGTCATTTGTATGATTAACCATTTTGGGTATTAATACAGCTTCTTCCAGTTCTTGAATTTTATATCTGGACTAACAATCCAAATTGATAATACAGTACAAAGTCCAAGATCCGGAATGATCTAAAATACGGACCTCAAAACCGCCTTCAATCTTTTTTAAAAAAATTATGAATGCTTTACGCATGCACTTTGATATTTTTCCCCGTAGACAAAACATGGAGAGTTTCAATTCTTAATTTCCCTTTGGTACTAAGAAGATTGATTTATTGAAGAAATAATAATTTAGCATAAATTTGTGTGATCAATAATTTGG